TTCATTTTCTTTTTTAAGATTTATTTTTATTGATTTTTGCATACAAGAGCTGGGATGTAGGCCAGAGGTATGGGTGTGAGAGGATTTACCAGGAACAGAACAGGCGGATCTACTGAAATACACCCCTCCCTGGTCAGGGGTTGAATCTGTGCTGCAGTGGCTGTTGATAGGTTCACAGTGCTGCGCTTTAACCTCTTGCACCACAAGGGAGGCCCTGAAATACATCGCGTTTTAGAGGCGCTTCTGACCTTAGCAGCCAGGGTCCACCTGAGTGTCACCAACCTTGCAGCTATCTCTGTAGACACCTAGGAACTGGACCCAGCCAGAGCTAACGGCAAACTTCATGTGCATAAGTGAGGCCTGTAGTTGGTATTTTGTGAGTGGCAAAAAGGCGCTGAGAACCACTCGGCTATCTAGAGATTGCTTCCAACCATTCTGGGTCAACTAGCAGCCCAAGAGGCCCGGCCTCACATACAGAGGTTAGAGTCAGGTGTATTAGCACTGCCCCAGAGGGTTCTGGGCCATAAGACAGAGTACTGCAGATGAGCAAAGCTACCAGAGGGATTCAGCCTTGGCCCTTCCTCCGTGTCTGCAGGTAGCTCCATATGTATCAGGAGCAGGACATCAGAGTCAATCTCAATTCTTTAACACTGACTTGGAAATGTCTGGGTGTTTCCTCTTGCCACTGCCTGCAAAATCTCCAGGGGTCTCACTCTGGGATAATCTCAGGAAACCCAAAGGGCCCGTGATGTGTTTAGAACATTCTAGAAGAGTCAATCCAAACTCTGAACCTTTCCAAACTCCTTAATGATCTCTGCACCCCTCCTCTGACCAAAAACTTCCAATGGTGCCCGCTACTTGATACCTCTGCCTTCGGGTTGCCACCAGAGCTTTCTTTTTGAAATATCGTCCCAATCTCTACAGCACCGTCTCCCACATAGTGATAATAACAATTACAATAATAACCAAAATGAAAACAATAGCACCTATATTGATTTCTATGCAATTTGTACAACATATCTTTCTCTAATTCTTCTACAAATTCTCCAAGATAGGTATTTTAATGTGAGAAATTTCAAAAATTTGATTAGCTAATTGAAGTACACAGATTCACTAGAAATTCTTCAATTTGAATGCAAGTCTTTGCTTCTAAGTCCGTGCTGCCTCACTAAAGATTTTATTTCCATGGAACTTTCTGTCATGTTTCAGGCTCTAAGTCCCTCTTCTAATCCACCCGAGCATCCCACCATGGGAAGGCACACGGTTGGTGGAGGTGACCAGGTCAGTTCCTGGCCCGGAGAATCGGGCCTTCATATTTTTCTTTTTTGTTCATTCCGTCTCATCGGCCCCACACTGCATTATTTAGGCTTTTATAGGATCATCTTTTCAGGGCAGGGAATTGGTTTTGTTGACACACTTTTATGGATTATTTTATTTCTTACTACTATAAAAATTATAAGTCATGGTAAAAACTACAGCAGTTTTCACACAGACTGACATTGTAAACCACCAATTCCCAAGCAAACATCTGAAGTCATCGAGGAGACAACACTACTCTGTACTGTTTTCATCTAATTGAAAAGTAGAACAATCTTCGTTTTCACAGAGAACATACAGTTGTGCATTTCTATGAGTGTGGTTTTGCTTTTTTTTTTTTCCTCACATTTCGAGGTATCCAGGATGTGATGAATCTGTCTATGAAGTATCACCTCATGCAAAGAGATTGCTGTTCTGCGGAGCCTGCCTCAACTGCAATGGTTATGAATGGTGCTGCTACCATAATTAAACCCCAAATCTTTCATAATCCCACACTTTCTCTCGGGTAATGTTCAGCATTAGCTATGGATGGAAACACAACCAAGTACATGTATGTTCAGTGAGAAAGCTTAATAGGCCAGGGAAGTCGTGGGATGAAATAACAGCTCTAGCACCTCCGTGGCTAACTAATGGTAGTTTGCCTTTCTAGCTACTGCCTTGACTTGTGTTTCTCAGGACTTGAGTGTATGTATCAAGTTGTGCTTGATTAACAGTGAAATCCATAGCAAGCTTGTTTGCTATCTATCTCCATGCAGATCAACTGCTTAGTTCTAGACTAATGCTTGCTGGAGGGGGGGCTTCAATGTCCATGTTAAAACCACACAGTTGACTGGCGAGTAAAACAACTGCTGAGGCGAGGCCTCCAGGCTCTGGCCCCAGATGCACTGCTCCCAGCAGAACGGTAATGGGAAGACGGTGAGTGCAGCTCTGGGTCCAGCTTGGAGTCTGTGACAGGTTCCCGAGTCACTGTGGCCTGTCAGATAGTTCAACAGATTACGAAAACAGGCTCATGAAGACTTCCTGTGTGTGATTATTTGTTAATAGCAATGATGTAGATGATTTCTCGATGAGATGCCATATCTCCAAAGTAATCACGATGCTCCACCTTGATGTTGTGCTTTCATAAAGCAAGAGACGCACTCGCTCACGTTATGCTCAGCATACTGTAGGGCACTGATTACTGGCCATTCCTCAGTGAGGGCCCAGACTGGGCCCCATAATGACGTCCCCAAATGTCAGTCTGTGACCAGCCAGCACTCAAATCCAAACCTCTTCACCCCATATCAGCAGATATTTGTTTTGTGGGTTTTCTGTTGTTGCTGTTGCTTTTATATCACACACCCTTCTTTGTCAGTTGGACCCTCCAGGCAAACATGGTATACTCTCAACTTCTGGCTGCAGTTGGTTTGCTTGTATGCTCTTTCTAGCTCTGTTCCTCAGGTTCTCTAAGCCTCAGTGTTTCCATCTGGGAAATGGGTCTTACCTGCACATTGCTGGTCAATCTTAGCACCACCTCTGCCACAGAAAATGGTCTTTCAAATGACAGGAATTGTGTCTCCTTTATTTTACTGAACACTGAGATGTAAATCAACACGAAGACATGGTCTGCCTGTGTGAAGGCGCACAATTAGAATTGTGGGGAGAAAGGGACATCCTAGCCGGGGAGCCTCGCCTGAGGCTGAGTCCAAGGAAGGAAGGAAGGAAGGAAGGACACAGCATTTCCAGAGACAGAATCAGCCCAAAATCGCTGGGCCTGCCCCCGTTAAATTTCTTGTGCACTTACACAGGCACAAGAAAACAAAGTTCTTTCTGAGCAGCAGTGGTACTTTTAAAATGTTTGAGTTCTATAAATTATGAGAATGACACAATCTTCATTTATTACAGTGTGTTGTAAAGAATCATTTGTTCAAAGTCGTAAGCCTGCAATAGCAAGAGAAATGCCGAGATAGAGAATCTCCCTCCGTAAGATCTTCAAGACACCCATTAGTCTCCTGAAGGACAGTCATAAATCCTGCAAATTTAGCTTATCTGAAACCAGCTCCAACAGTTGTCCTGCCCACCAATCATCCTTTATAGGAGTCTCTGCTTTCAGCCCTCAGTGTACACATCCTGGGCAGAGGTGGCTGAGTGTGAAGTGTGCTTTCTCTGGAGCGAGTTGTCAGTTACCCACTGTGACCCAACTCTGTCTCTGGCATTTGAACATAACCTCTAAAAGACTATGGTTCCCTATTTATCAACATGGGTGTTGCCTTTTCTCTTCCAGTTTCCTTTCAGGAAAAAGCACACAAGCAAGAATCAGGAGCTTTAGGATTGGCATTAGCACTGACTAGCTCTGATGTCTTGAGCAAAGCAGCTGGCTCCTCAGAACCTTCCTGTGTGAAAAATGAGGGAGGTGGACAGTGGCATTTCTGGGGAGGATTTCTGGAAGGAATAAGAGTGGAGGTGGCTACGGGAAGGGAATTGCCGCTCTGCTGACAGGGTGGAGGGCAGCAGAGGGTGGGAGGCCCCTGGGGTGATAAGCTGAGCTGCGTGGGGGCAGGGACACCGCATTCTTTCTGATAGGGAGGTTTCCCCCTGGAAAGCTTTTGTGGCAAAGGGGGATCTCATTGAGCTATTAAGGGCAAAAAAAGGATCTCCAGAGCTGAGAAAGGGACATCCTAGCCAGGAGCCTCGCCTGAGGCTGAGTCCAAACAAGGAAGGAAGGAAGGAAGGACACAGCATCTCCAGAGACAGAATCATCCCAAAATCGCTGGGCCTGCCCCTGCTTGAATTCTAAGGAAATGTTGGTTTGTAATAAATAAATGCTTAGTACTTCATAAATGAAGTGCTTCGTAAATGAAAGTACTTTAGTACTTCATAAATGAAAGTAGTCACAGCAATTGATCTGGGATTGGGATGGTAAGACCCTCTAACTGCTGCGCCGCAGGTCTGGAATGGGTGTGTGGTCCTGGGGCTTGCCAGCCCATGGAAGCAAAAGGTTAGCAGTGCTCGATAAACCATTTGCAAAGTGCTAGTTCATCACCAAAATTCAGGCCACTCATAGTTTTCAAGTACATTGCCTTAGGAGAGGACGATTTCTTATCCACAGCGTGGGCTTACAGCTCTTGGATCAAACTTCACAGGAAGAGAGTGGTCATGTCAGAAGGCTAATGAGTAGCCATTCCTTGCCCAGCTAGTGTGTGGCCACCATGCTGCCACAGCACAGAGGGCCCGAGAAGGCAGTGGAAGCTCGCTAGACTGTCTCCTTCTGCCATCCGGGGGACCTAGCAGGCTCGGGTCCCCGGGTCCCGCGCACTCAGGCTGTTGGCATGCCTGCTCCTTCTGGGCTCGCAGTGTCTCTTCCATGGAGACGCAGTGGCGCTTCCTGCCTCCACAGCGATTATGCAGCCGTTTGCTACACTTTCAGTAGTAAAAATACATAGAGCCCAGTCATCTCTGCAGAGCTGAAATAGTACCCCTTTTCCCCTTGATTTAGAGGAAGTAGAGAGGGAAATGTGAACCAGGCCCAACATAAATACAAGAGCTCAAAGATCTAATTAGCTGCAGGAATCTTGGTTCCCTGCACACCTTTCGCAGAACTGCAGCTGCCAGGTCGTGAGACTGATAGTTTCTCCTTGTTGCCACAGGTATCTGAGAATGTTTCAGAAAGATGCTAACAGGACGCCACTCTGACTCTCTTGTAGGATGCTTGAAGATGATCTGAAGCTGAGCAGTGATGAAGATGACCTTGAGCCTGTGAAGACCTTGGCCACTCACTGCACCACCACTGAGCTCTACCAGGTAGGGGCAGCCAGCGCTCGGTTTGGAAGCTGAGGGGCGGGTCAGAAGGAACGGGAACGGCTCTGCAGACCTACTGCATGTGTTGTGTCTGTGCTTTGGAGAGAGGGGAAGAAGCAAAGACAGGTGCGCCACCCGAGTAGGGTGTCTCAGGCCACACGCTATCGAAGCCATGAGGAGGAGAGGCTGGGCACCTTCAGCTGCTGCGCCGAGGTCGCCAGAGGCCAGCGGTGGTTGTCTGCTCCTTTCTTGGACTGACTGATGTTTGGGGTGAGCGTAAGTTTCTTTCGGTGACTCCAGTGGGAAGTTTAGAGCCCGCAAGCAGGAGCTCGCAAGGGGATACATGGAACAGCACCACCGCCCCGTCCAGGCGCACCCCTTGAGAACCCAGCCCCAACGTCTGGAGGTTGGCACAACCTTCAGAGAAAAGGCGTTTGACAAAAACAAGCCATTTGGCGAAAACTTGCTGCTGCTCAACCTCCCTCTCTGCGTTACCTTTACAGTACTGACCAGCTAGTCTGCTGGCAGGAGTGTGTTGTCGGCATGGCCACTGGGCATCTTGCTTGGAAAGGTCAAGGGTCACTGATGTATCATGAAAACAGTCATGTGGTGTCGGGGTCAGTGATGGCAGCCTGTCTATGTGAGCGAGGACTGTTTGGAATGCAGAGTCCTCCTGGGAGCACCTATAACCCCTATAACCCCCTCTAAGAAGGGGCACACAATAGGCTTTGTAAAAACAGCACCTGGCCGCGTTCTTCACATGGTGAAGTCTATTGAGTTATGAAGCTAAAACTAGGCTGTTGGGGGAGGGGTGCTCATGTACTGGGATTTCACGATGGTTGCCAGAGACAGAATTTCATACTCAATATTTTGTGAGGAGCTTGCAAGAAAAGCTCACAAGGCTCACCTGATCGTTTCCATGGCTAATGGTTCACTACACTGGATCGCCTCCCGTTCGGTGTAATTTACGGCGTTATGCAGCCTGACTTTGATGCTGTAGCAAGAGTCGGCACGGCTGCCTCCCTGTCGTCTTTTGCTTTCTCAGCTGGGACAGTTTGGGGCACAGATGTGTCCCTGTTGCCTTCTAAGTCTGTGACAGCGCTGGCATATGTTGGAGAGCTTTGAATCCTGACTGCCCTTACTGAGTGACCTTGGTGTCTATACAAGACCTAAGAGTCTCCGAAATGGAGGTAACAATCCCACCTGCCTCTTTGGTTCCTAGTGATGAGGTATTCATCGGGTAAATGAGGCAACATCACCTGACGCTGCTTAGCACATTGGGCTGTTCCAGAATGGAGTTTGAATTGGAAACAGCGTTTTCTACTTAGTGTGTGTATACACAAACATGTTGCGATATGTTCTTTTTTAAAGTTGCAAATTAATGACATGGGGTCACCGATGCCTGCCAGTCAGCACGCTCCATTTCAACTCCTCAGCTGTTGCTCTTGCCATCGGAGATACAGAACTCTGCCCCATTCGACACTTATTGAGTTGCCATTTTCAAACCAGTCATCAGGACAGGCAGGGCCACTGGTGAGTGCGCTGGTAGCTGGCTGGAGAGCAGCACGATTCCCAGGAGGGGGTTTGGCCGGCCTAGGTGCAGGCTTCCCTCCATGCCCACATCCTACCCCTCGCCTTAGTTTCCCTTGTGGTCAGTTTTTTTTCTCCTTATTTTCTTTGGGACTAAAAGAACCCCTGAAAATGAGGGGTTAAACCAGGAATCAATTTTCATTTACAGCTGAAATGCAGTTATTGATGCTGAGCTTGCAGCTCAATAAAAGATCTAAAGATCTAGACCTTGTGCTTCTCTTTCAATACAGGCAGCCTAATCAGTCCCCACTGTTTTTTAAACAAAGAAATTGTGTTGACAAGTTTATTAAAATTACTGTCTTTACATTTTTAAGCTGTCCACCCTTTGACCTGTTAGAAAGGTTTCTAGGATGCATGGTGGCCAAACTCCAGCACCCCCCAGGAATGTGTTCCCGGGACCAGGTGAACATCTATTCAACATTCCATTGAGTGGGCTCATGATGTTGGAACGACGCGAGTCCGAGCCCATGATCTGGTGTAATCTGGGGGCAGCACGGCCTGCTATGCCCTAGGTACATCTGGGCCGGCCCCTCAGGCCCCAGTGTGCATTGGCATGAGAAGCAGCAGATCTGAGAAGTAGATAAACGAAGCAGGTATTGTCACAAAACTGCTTGTAGAGCGTGTTCATATCACTCCCCTCTTGTTACTAGATAAGTAAAACTGAAACCTTGGCAGATGAGACCCTGTGAGTCCCCACTGGTCTGTGACTGGCAAGTTCAGTTGGCAGTCAAGCTCAGCTACAGGGTGCTTTATGTGTGTACTGGGGGACTTGGGTGCTGGTGCTTCCCAGCCGCAGTGAACTTGAGCCGAAAGGTATTTCAGTGAGTGCTGGCTAGGTATGTTCTGATGTTCCCAATTTATTTAACTTCTTTCTTTTTCTGCTTGAGGATTTCCCTGATATCCTTAGATATGTGAACATGCACAGAAAACGTTGTCTTCTTGACTCTGCTCCACCATGTCACTGCTTTGATTGTGTCTGAAGATGACTGTCTCACCTCGAGCAGCTTCCTTATAGTCTGGGATCTTGAATCTGGCTTTATATTTGATCCCATTTTCTCTCTCAACTTTCTTGGAGCTCTGTATGCTATGCAATTTTCTTTCTTTGTGTTGTCATTGCTGGGCGGGCTCACTGGTGGTCTGTACCTTGATCATTGCAAATGAGACAAATTATATGGTAGCCGAAAATTGGAACTCCTGGCGACTTGGGGATCCTGTCCACCTGTGATGCCAGGCTCCAAACATAGTAGCCAAGTACAATTAAAGCCACTTTTATGTTTAAGGTTCACTAATGAAAAAAGATGCAATAAATGTTGCTCCTTCTATCAGCTGGCTCTTTTGAAGTTGATGAGCTGGATTGAACACATTTCGTGGGGACGACAGATACAATTCCCTGGCTGTAATCATTCCTATTTTTTAGCCTCCGTTCTCCCTCATCATGCTGAACAAGTTGTTTCCTCCCCAAGATTTCCCTCCATTTCCATTTACTTTGTTATCAGCCTTCAGTAACAACAGAGAGAGGGGTCAGCCTGTCAGAGCTCTAGAAACAGCAGATGGATTAGGATGAAACCAGGTGCAAAATAACTTTGAGAGAGTCTTTTAATGTAAACAGTTTATCTGTCATTGCCTTTCATTGAAATCCCCCACAAAATGATAGTGTTTGGGCTGTGAAGGCCGCAGAATGGAGCTGAATAAAAGCAGCACATTATCGTACTCTATTGGGCAATTAGAGAATGAGAGCACATTTTCATTTATTCATTAAAGACAGGAGAGTAGGGGCCCTCCCTGGGGGCACACCGGTTAAAGTGCAGCACTGCAAGTTAGCAGCAACTTCAGTTCAAGTTCGATCTCCACCCCGGAGCTGACCCACATGGCACCGCAGACCTCTCCTGGCCCGCCCGCTGCTCCCCTCAGCAGTGTCCTTCATCCATCTGCCTGTTCTGCTCACTCTGTCTCTGGGGAATCCTCTCACTGACCCTGCACCTCTGACCTGTACCCCAGTTCTCTATGCATAAATAAATAAATCTTAAGAAAAATAAAGACAGGAGAGTAAATAGGATACCATGTAAGGTTAATAGAATAACATTGGCCTTCCTAGTCCTAAGATTTTGTTTCCCATTTGACTGTATGAGCACAGAGCCTAGAGTAATAAGGAATTGCTTAGGGCCTGGATGATGTGACTTTTAATATGCCCGAGGCAAGTGTGTGACTATTTAGAAACCTGCACACCTCATTTTTTTACATTGTAATTAGGTCTTCTGCTTTTAGCGCCGAATATTTCCACTTGTACTCTCGATACATGGCCTTTTTATTGTAATCCTGAGAAAATTTGCTGCATGCACAGAGGTGGGAGCATATCAGGTGAACATCCAGTGGCCATTTTGCTTAGCTTAACTCTTCCTCACCTTGAACAGACAAGAGCCAGGCGGCAACAGAAACGGGCCCGCACTGCTACGTTCAAATCCATCGCTGGTTGGTAGGATGGGCACCCCAGCCGGTCGATACAGAGCACATGGCACTGTCTGACTGTGAACAGACGGTGATAGAGCAGCAGCCTCCTCAGGGATGCCGTAGACCACTAAGCCCATTTGCGAGGAAGCACCAAGAGGGGAAGTGTCGCCTTGTTGCCCACATCACTGCAGGAGGTGGCTGGATGTGCTTGGTCCTCTGTCCACTCCCACCCCACTTTTTGTTTGGTGCCAGCATGTTCTCCTCCTTGGGCCCCTTCATCACCCCGAGTTGGGTCCCAAACTCGCCTTTGGAGCCAAGGGCCCTGTCTCAGAGTCCTTGACAAGTCCCAGGCAAGATGTCTCGTGTACCTATGTCTATTCAAGTTCCCAAGAGTTGAGTTGAACCGGGGTTCTAGTGACTACTAGAGCAGTATGAACATCTCCTCTCAAAGCTGTGTCATAAAGCGCTTTACCAAAATGAAAATGGACCATTTTGAAATTGATATGCTAGCTTTAAAATTTTTACTGGAGCTTTGTTTAGGGCCCAGGAAGGGGTTAGTCTGTCCCCATATACCTGCTATCAGCTGAAAAGGATTGAGGCTGCAAACAGCAAAGGCCTGAACGGAGAACCCAGTCCGTCTTACTCTTAGGTAGCTCCATCTCCTCAACTTATTTAGCAACAGAAAGCATGAAGAAGAGGTTAGTGGCCTAGCTCAGAAGAATCAGCAAGGTGCAAGCAGGCAGACATTCGCCAGTTGTGGAACTTTACAAGCGGCAGGGAGCATTTGACCCACATTTCCCAGCGTGCCTCATGTGAGCCTTTAGAATATTTCCTTCCAACATCCATCCGTGTTGGGTTTGCTCACATTGGAGAACTCAAGTTCCACAACCAGCCATGGATCATGGATGTATGTCAATGCAGTCTGAAATGTTAGTGTCTCTATTAAAATGAAGAATGCCAGCCCT